AGCGGTGCTTTTCCCACAGGGAAGCGGGGCTCCGTGGTGGAGGCAGCGCAGCGGAGCCCAGCCTGAGGCGAGCTGCGCGGCGAGGGGCACAGGGCCGCCAGAGAGCGCGGCTGTGGAGGGGACAAGCGGCTGCGCAGCCACAGGACAGCGACACGGACCGACCCGGGGCCGGGGCAGGGGACACACAGCAGCGGGGCCGGGGCCAGGTGTGGCAGGGCCGGAAAAGGGAGGGGAACGCGGGCCACTCACCTGCGCGGCGGAGCTGCAGCAGCCCATGGCGTCCGCGGGTCTCTGCCCCGTGGGTGCCCGCTAGGCATCCACTCCCCGCGATTCCCCCGCCCCGGGCGTACGGAGGGCGGCACGGAGGAAGCGGCGGGGACCGCGGGGCCCGGTCAGACGAGCGCGGCTGCAGCAGAAGCGCCGCCGCGGCGCCCCCTCATTCTCCTCCCCACAGCGGCCGCTCGGGGGCGGGCGGCGCCGGGGGGCGTGGCCAGTGCACTGCGGCGCGGGGGGTACCTGCCCGCCGCCGCTTCCGGCGCGGCGGTGGCGGCGCGGGGCCGCTCCGCCGGGGCTGGCCGGGCTCCGCGCTCCGGGCTCCGCGCTCCGGGCTCCGCGCTCCGGCTCCTCGCTCCGTGCTCCGCGCTCCGTGCTCCGCGCTCCGGGCTCCGCGCTCCGGCTCCGCGCTCTGCTCTCCGGGCTCCGCGCTCCGGGCTCCGGCTCCGCGCTCCGGGCTCCGTGCTCCGCGCTCCGGCTCCGCGCTCCGGGCTCCTCGCTCCGGCTCCGCGCTCCGGGCTCCGCGCTCCGGCTCCTCGCTCCGGGCTCCGCGCTCCGGGCTCCGCGCTCCGGCTCCGCGCTCCGGCTCCGGGCTCGTCCTTCGCTCGCCCCGCGGTGCGGGAGCTGCGTGTGGGCGCCAAGCTCTGTTCAGCGGGGCTGCCCAAGAGTCGGAGCCCGCCCGCTGAGGGGAAGACCAGACCTGCTGGTGTGGCCTGGTAGTACATACGCATTTGCAGCCGAGAATTTCTAGTAGAATCCAGCGCTATTTCTACACTTCTTTTAACGCTCCCAGAGACAGTGACTTAACCAGTTTCCTCGGCAGCCTGTTACAATGGTCACCAGCCTTATGTGGAAGAATGTTTTGTAGTATTCCCTATAAACCTCCCTTGGCGCAGCTCTTCCTACCTGAGGGAAGAGACAGACCCGCACCGGGGTGCAGCCTCCTGTCAGGAAATTGTAGAGAGTGATCAGGTCACCCCTGTATTTGGAGCCTCTTTTTCTCCAGGCTGAGCAGCTCCAGCTTCCTCAGCCACTCCTCACAGGACTTCACCTGCTCCATTGCCCTTCTCTGGACACGCTCCGGCACCTCGGTGTCCTCCTGCAGAGTCCGGACTGGACTTGGAGTTTGAGGTGTAATCTCACCAGTGCCAAGAACAAGGATGCATGGTCCTGCTGGCCACACAATTGCTGATACAGGCCAGGATGCCGTTGGCCTTTGCGTCCACCTGGGCATGCTGCTGGATCATGCTCAGGCTCTGCTCATGCTCAGCATCCCTGGGCCCTCTTCCACCATGCAGCTTTCAGCTACTTTTACCCCAGCCTCTAATGCTGCCTGGGATTATTTTGATCCAAAGGCAGGACCTGGCACCTTGTTGAACTTCTTACCACTGGCCTTGGACACCAATCCAGTTCCTTCTGCAGAACCAGCCTACCCTCAGCATGTCAACATTCCCACTCAATTTGGTGTAATCTGCAGAGTGACTAAAGAGGCACACAATCCCCTTGTCCAGCTATATTAATAAATATACATCGGCCCCAGTACTGAGCCCTGGGGGAATGCCACTAGTGACCTGTTGCCAGCTGAGTTTGGTACCATTCACCACCACTCTTTGGGTTCAGCCTACCAGATCATTTTTATGCAGCAAACAACACACACATCCAAGCCATGAGCAACCAGGTTCCCTAGGAGAAAACGATGGGAGACAGAGTCAAAGGCTTTGCTCTGGTCCAGATAGACAGCACCCACAGCCTTTCCCTCATGCACAAAGCAGATCACTTTGTCATAGAAGGAGATCATGTTGCTCAATGAGGATCTAACTTTCCTAACCCTGTGCTGGCTGGGCCTGATTGCCTGATTGTCCTGCACATTCTGTCCAGAACTCAAGATGATCTGTTTCAAACCTGCTGGGCACTGAGGTCATGCTGAGATGACCCGTAGTCTCCCAGATCCTCCATCCTGTCTTTTCGTTGTTGAGTGTCACATTGGCTAACCTCAGTCCCTTTTAAGGTATGTTTGCGTGTTCAGCAGTTGTGTTTGAACACAACCTAAGCATACAAAGCAATACTCCCTATAAATTTGGGGGTTTTTGTTGAATCTTAACGCAGTAACAGAGTTATCTACTATTCTATCAATATAGTAGAATATCCATTATTAGAAATAGTGTTGCAATGACTTAAATATAAAATGATCCTTTGACAGGCAGAATGAGGCAAAAGAGACCTTGTGACTAAGAAAAGGAGTTTTGTTAGGCTTCCAAAAAACCTCAGAAACTTGATATGTGGGTGAGTTGTGAATCACACTGGGGTTTTTTTAGCTCTTGTTAGTTTAATGGCAAGTAGAATCATGGAATCATTTCATTTGGAAAAGACCTCTAAGATCATTGAGTACAACCATAACCTGGCATTGCCAAGTCCACTGCTAAACTATGTTCCTTAATGCCATATCTTCATATCCTTTAAATTCCTCCAAGGTTGGTGACTCATCAGTAAGGTCACAATTTTCTGATTTTATAGTATCTGCTTAAAATAGCGTTTTACCTTTTTGCATGTATCTTGCTATTATTTTCATTGTTCCACCTCATTCTATCCAGATATTTCTCTGGTGTTCAAAGATGTGGCCATGAAAGAAATGTTTTGCAGGGACACTCCCTAGCAGAAGTGTTTATATTGTGACTGACACAGTAATTGATAACAAGAAATTTATAGTCAATTCTTGTATAACTTCGGAGCCATCAGAATTTCTGTTCCTCCATTTTTCCATTTATAAAATTGACTTTTGTCCCAGCACTTCTCTTTTCCGTTTGCTTGGGTATCAAAAGCATTAGGTCTGTGCCAGAGATGTTATTTACTCAGTCTCTTAAACAGACCAAATGCAAATTTTTTAAATAGTCCACTCATTTAGGACTTTTGCTTCAATAGTTTCATTTAGGACCTCAAAACGTTGTCATGGAAATTAAATTCTGCCTCCAGCTTTTTTGCATGTAGACTAAACATATTCAGCATGATTATCAGAAGAGGTTAATGCATTAAAACACAGTGCCTGCCCCCAAAAATTGTGGACTCTTAAAAAAAAAAACACATTCTAGCCAATAATGAAAAGTTTTGTGCAGCAGCAGAGAGGCAATAGTAACTTCAAAGTGATTAAAAAATGCCAGTCCTTCAATGGCTAGGGGAGCCTTTATGAAAAAGCTTATAAAGGTATACCAGCTGCAGCATAGGTAACTGGGGTTTAGTGCAGATATATGACAACTGTAGAAATTATTTGATCAGATTAGAAATAATCTCAGAATCTCTGCCTCTGGACTAAGGAGATTAGTTATGTTTTTGGTAGGGATGCAGTAATAGCAGCAGTAGTTGCCTGGCTCTAACTGATTTTACTGTACTTTGGTCAGTCACACAAAGGAGAGGGAAAGTTAAAAGACTCTGGCTTATTCATAATTATATGAGCTCTTTTATTTGTTTAGATTAGCATTTAATGAAGGAACTGAACTGAGACTTGCTGAATCTTAGTTCAGTAATACAAAAGTTGAACTTTAAGCATATGTCTAAGTGCATTTTTTGAATTCTGCTTTTTTGATACTTTCCTGAATCTGAATATAATAGGCTCTAAGGCATGGTTGCATCACAAGCTGCTAAAGACCAAAGCTGACTGCACCAATTTACTGTTAATAAGAATCTACCTATTTTTCCATAACAGTTTTGAGTCTGCCCTTCTGCTCTGGCCAAGAGCTTTACCTGTATTTTCATTTAGTTGCTAGACTCAAAATGACAGGAAAGAGTTTTCTAAGCACTGTCTAATACTGAGAAAGACAATGACAGAGAGAAGGCCCTAGAATGACAAAAATTACTTTAGTACTTGAGAAAATTGTAGGTTATGTCCAAACTGCTTCTATTCTGAGAAGAAAGCATTAATTATATGGTAATATTTACCTTTTCATTTCTCACCAGGTGCAGGATCTTGACCTTACTCAGCCATATTTAAAAGCCTAAGGATTTTACCAAGTACAATATAATCTACATCTTTTGTTCCATATTAATGACAGAAATACCTTTAGAATAGTATTAGATAAAATTCTAGGTTTTTTTGATATGTTATTAAGTGTGAATTTTGGGAAGGAATTTTTGAACAGGCTCAGTTCTGAACGAAGTGCTCAACCAGCAGGTAGGCAAAACTTGGCTTTGCCATTAATGAAATGGGAAGCAATGCACTGTGCAGACTAAAAGCTGAATATTGCACCAGCAAGGTGTTGTTGCAGTATGTGTGTTTACATCCTTCTTCTAATTGACAAATTCTGCTTATTATCATTCTGCTGACTTCTTCCACCTACCAATAAACCTTCATCCTGTATGTGCTTGGCAACCACTCTGAATTTTTAAAAATCCCACCCAGGGTGCTTAGCTCCGTATTACTGAGGTTGTTTTTATTGGTTTTGTCTTTTTTTGTTGTTTTGGTTTTCTGATTTTTAAAATTTATTTAAATGCAGAACTATGTGTATTCTCTCCATAATATGCCCAGTGAATAGACTTAGTTCTCATACACGTGTATCGATGCATGATTAAGGGTGATTCTGCTAATTTCAGCAGAATACTAACGGAAGCACGTCATGAGGAGGAATTGCAGCAAACACATGGCAAACAGGCTGTCAGCCTGTGTCTATGAGCAGGGGATAAAGCACACTGACTTATTCAGATCACCGTGGTGCTACATATCTCAGAACTCACGTTAAATTGGTCATCTTTATGGAAAGTTGACCCATGCCATTGCACATTTTTAAGTGCTGTGGAACTACAGCATAGAGTCTTGTGTCAAATCACACAGGACCCCGGTAACAAAACAGTGAAGTTGTATGTTATAAACTCCAGCTTGTATACTGTCAGTTGCAAATTTTTGTCAGTCAAAATAAAAACATTCAAGGTGTTCTTCTTTGAACTAGACTAGTAGGATTCTTGCAGACTTTTTAATTGCTGACTAAAAAAATATGCACATTGCTCAGTAAGTCTGAGCTCTCACCAGTTAAGGCTAGGATTTTCTTCTTGCTGCCTGTCTGATTGCAGAAGGGGTCAATTCAGTAAACTCTCTGAAAAAGTCAGAAAACCTAGTGTGATTCTACTTTTTACTGGAGCCCCATAAATGAATCATATTAGGTCTGTTTCAGTTTAAAACTATAGACTCCAA